AACAAGGGGAGTTTCCACTACAGTGAAGGCAGTAGGAAGAAGGCATTGTTCTTTACGTCACACAGCCAATGTTCACAGACTTGTGTACAGGATAGACTGGCTGACTTCAGTCTGGAGTCTAGACTCCGCCCAGTTTACTGTCTACATTTGTCATGAGTGTCTTATGATGAGTTTCAGCTTGTTTGTAGTAAATGGGGGAAGAGACTAGACTGCCTGTTTAGTTCACTGTGACCAACACTTCATCGCATTAACAAGAACTGAGTGATGCCAAATTGTGGACTGACTTTTGCTGAATAATTATACTATCCTAATATGTTATTATCTACTATATATAATCAGTGGCGGGTGGGGGTGGGGGGCTACGAGATGAGACTGGATTAAAACGTTAGAGGTGGGCTATCAGACATTCAAAATCCATCATATATTCCTCTCTGTGTGTGTTAGTCTGTCAAAATATAAGCATGAGTAAGGACAGATGTGTGTGTATGCTGAAGTCAGAGCAGGAGGAATAATTGTGTGTCAGTAAGAGATGAGGAGCCGACGCCACAACGAGTCTTAAGGAGTCTTAACGAGCTAACCGTAGCGACCAAACAAAGCGGCGAGTGACTCGCTCTTAGAAGTCTAAGGCTTCTCTTTATGAAGATATAAAGTGTAAGATAAGTTGAATCTATAGCTTTTCAAGGGTGTTAGTAGTAAAACTACTCTTACCACACTGTGAGAGTAATATGATAAGTAAGCGCTTCACAAAAAATATAGAAAATGAAAAGGGAGGCAAATGAAACTGCAGATATATCGCACTATCACAAAATACAGGATTTAAAAGACAAATACAACTGAAGACAAAATCATGAATTCAGTATCCTGCTACAACTGAAAGTCCTTCATTCAAAGTATATCAGTACTGTCATCAGTATGATCTTACCGTCTGGAAGTGAGTAAAGCAAAAATCTTTTACGTACATTGTAGAGCATATATTTGTATATTTTTAAGTGTTAGTCCAAGGACTTTTAAAGCTTTTTGTTTTCATAAAGCCTGTCAACATTAAGTTTGTCGTTTCATTTAAAAAAATATTTATAATTACATATAATTTTAACAGCTCAGGGATGTTCAAGTAACTCCACGTCGTTGAACGTGCCTCCGTTTCAAAGCAATATACGAGCATTAGCAGAATGTCTGTCTATGTAAAGTCTGTCATGAAATTTGTCTCATACATTTACACATCTTTCATGTCATGCCTTTATTTTTGCAACAAAAATTGAAGAGTCCTAATTATGCCTTCAGTAGGTCTCATGAAGCAGGACATGAAGTTAAAAGGACACTGTTGTTTACAAGATATCCTAGATGGCGAGCGAAGCAGAAGTTGATGACAGTATAATGTTTTTGCCTTTATGTGGTAAATGGACTTGGACTTGTATAGTGCTTTTCTAGTTGTCTTTCTACTCAAATCTGCTTTTACAACACATGTAATATTCACCCAGTCACACCACATTCACATACTGATGCAGAGGCTGCTACATAAAGTGCCCAACTGCCCATCAGTACTATTCCATTCACATGCAATTCACACGCCGCTGGCAGAGCAGCACGATCAGTTTGGGGTCGGTGTCTTCAACATGTGACTGCAGGAGTTGGGGGTCGACCCTCTGGCTGAGAGACAACTGACTCTACCACAGAGCCATTGTTGCCCCTCTATCAATGCTTCATGTTGTTGGACTATTATCAACAGTATCACCCAAGAGAGCGTAGAAGAACCCACTGGCAGGCAGAGAAGAGTATGAAGATATGTCATTAAGTGCACAGTGATTCAAGTCACAGACTTGTTGCGTGATATAAAAAAGAAATGCTTTCTCACTCAGTATGTGTACATTTTAACTGTTGAATTGAGCCCTGGGTATAATGACCTTGCCTTGACACCCTTTTGATGCAGTCAGATGAAACTCCAGCTAGCTGTCAGCTATCAGTGTAATAAAATGCTATTCAGATGTATTTTGAAATCAGGAGAGACATGCTGCAAACATGGGCATTGCGTAAAATACAAAATGACACAGCAATTATGTTTGCCATTTAAATATGCTTTAGGTTTGTATGCTGAGGGTAGAGTTCTTCCAAGTCTACATAAAATTACTTGTCCGAGACAACAAAGCTGTTCCAAAATGAATAAAAACATTGATACGTCTTCCACCTTGGGACTCACTCAAATTCCCCCATGGTCAGCACCTGACGAAGCTGTATCTTTATAACAAACCCCACCATAATTCAGTCATCAGCCACATGGTTTGTTGAGACGTTTACAGCTATTGTAATTGAATGTCACCATGCCGTCTGTATCTTGTGTGAAGGTCTTTGTTTCTTTTCTTCTTTTTTTTTTCCTTCCTACAGCTCACTCCTGTGGCTGTTTCCAGGGTAACCACATTCCCTTTCAAATTGTACCATGTCTGACATTGGATGCTGTCCGTCGCCATGGCAACAAAGCCCCCAAAGTCCCAGTTAAATATAAGATTTGGTTTCAGACCAGTGTTTCTCACAGAATTATGCTTTACCTGTGGGGTGGGGTACCCTTCTTATATTAGGTTAGGTTATTTTTTAATATTAGAATATAAATCCATTGGGCTTTATTCCCTAACTTGTTTTTGTTTTTGTCACAAATGACTTTTATCTGCTCGTCCTACTTTCCTTCCACTATCAACATACACACTCACACACAAATACACAGTACACACACACTCACACACTCATACCCAAGTGCAGGACAGAATCGGCAGTCAGCAGCTGCAGAAAAATATTAACTCCAGCAATCGGCCCATCTATTAAAACGTTCAATGTTTTTCGATAGCACTGCGAACCCGAACTGCCCCCGCACAACTATTTGAAAATGGCAGACAAGTAGTTGTTTGATAGCGGTTAGCAAACAGTTACGAGCATATTACTGGAATGTGGTGTGAATACAGACATGTGTGATTGTCTTTTATCTCCACTTAGACATATTTGTTCATGTGACTGCATGCATCGAACCGTGAAGCCTGTAACGTAATTGTTCGAGACAAAGATAAAAAACTGTTCCAGGCCTACATCTCAGCACAGACTCAATAGTCAGAAATCTGATTCAATGCTTTATTTGTTTTTCTCTATGGCAGTTGAAGCAAACTTGTTTGAACTGAATGTTTCATCTTGTTAAACCTAGACACCCAAACACTTCTTGTCATGAGTGATAAAAAACGTTATTAAATAACAGTGTACCACTTGGTTGTGGTATCATCATGTTTGCTGTGTGGTATGCAGTGTTATATAAATGAGGAAAAAATAGCAATGGGTTTGTGCAACTGTTAAACCCACAATGTTTGCAGTAATAGTATTTTGACAGGCAGGTCCAACAGAGCTGCTTTATATTTAAACAAAGACGAGCAGATTTGAAAGATAAGAAACAGAGAGCTGGTCTGCAGTTCTGCCTCAACCCGAGATGGGAATATGAAATGCATTGGATTACAATTTCATGAAAATGTACTTGAGGATTATTCTCCACCTGGCCTAGTTTAGTAGACTTGGGCTGGGGAGCAACCTCAAAGAAATAAGAAAATGTATGCCCTCTTAGCAAGTGTCTGACATGTATTGTGTATGTTTCACACTGACACAGTCAGAGTCCAGTACAACAACCTCTGGCACACCAGGCAAGTTTTTAACTGGAGTAATGTTTGTGCTGCATAGTGTTGTCCTGCCTGAAGCCCCATGCTGATGTCCCAGACATCCCAGTGTTTTCTGCTTAGTTCACTCTCACTCCAGATGTAGGGTAGCAGCAGGACTGGCTAGTGTCCACTCAACTTGGAAAATGACTTGAGTCGTAGACCGTGTGTTTCTCATAGCGTAAACACTCTGTTGAAACAGCACGAGCATTGTATGTTTTGGAGTTGTTTCAGAATCGGTTGTTTGGGTGAATAATTAATGCCAGCGTATCTTAAAATCCCAGTAATTAGGGCTTTCATTGGTTGGCTGACCTCTTTCACTTAGCTGAAGGATATGCATCTCCAGCAGTTCAGGTGAAAGCAGGAAGTACAGAGTAGCACAGATCAGCAAATCTAATGGTCTGGGTCCATATTTACATCCTCCCTATCCACTGTCTTTGATGGAATCCAACATGGCGAGCCTAAATATAGCTGGCATGGTTTTCCGGAATAACTGTTGTTGGCACAAATCTGCGGATGTAACTGCCCTCCTAAAGTGCTACCATCTGAAGGCTGCTGTGATACTGTGATGGGTTGACAAAAGACATTCTAACACTTTCATATAGAACAATCATGCTCAATTTTTAAAGAGGGGCTTTTTTGACCTTCAGTGTATTTGAACCCTTATAGAGTGTGCCCCCCAAGTACCAATAAAGCAGTGCATAAAATAAATGATCACCAAACTTTCCCCCTGAAAAAGTTTACTGGGGACTGCTGGTGTAAACAATTAATATTTCCTTTCCTCAAAAATATGTTTAAAATAGAATTTGATCTGGATTGATTGTCACTTCACCAATAATGATCAATACTTGGAGTCAAAAGATGCTGCAGCCTGTGTCCTGCCCCTTTCGTTTTAATGTGATTACTGTAATAACAAACTGCACCATTGAACAGTGGGATTAATGGGATTATTCCAGATTGTCTCATTAGAGCAGATTACAATGCCCGGGATATGTCTTCCTGTTTGTTAAGAGTTTACATCCACTTATTGTCTATCACTGTTGAGCAGTAAGTCACAGGTATTAACACCTCTTGATCTGAATGGCTAGCGGAGTTCAGTTTGGTGTCACAAACTATGTGTTGTGTACAAATGTTTGCACTAAAATGAGCGGGTATATTAAGAGAGTAAAACGCCTGCACCTCGGGCCGTATGCTGATATATTTAGACTCTGGCTGAACTTTTAGGTTTTACTTCAGTTTAACTCAAACTGGTCAGGCAGAATCACGTGTCTCTTGTTCTCTATTTGCTAATTTTCTTTCTCTCCCCATTTCTTCCATTCCCAGTTGTCCGTTCCTAGCTCTGCAGTTGACCCCAGTTATCCCAGTCATAGGAGGTGTGCTGTTTCTCTTTGTATTGGGGACCCTCCTGAGAACCAGCTTCAGTGACCCAGGAGTGCTGCCTAGGGCCACCCCAGATGAAGCAGCTGACCTCGAGAGGCAAATAGGTAAGACGCTGATTGAATTATTAAAGACTTGAGAAAAAGAAAGATGGACATGAAAACCCCATTAGTGAGGTTTGTTTCTTTACAACAGCCTGAGCACTTCACAACCTCTTTTGCATACTACTTAATGTATTTTATGTCAGACTATTCCTCTTGTTTTAAGACCATGGTTACATCATTTTTTATGGTACCGTATTTTTATTGGAGTTAAGTAAGACTTTGAGTTGATTCTATATACTGTATATACAGTACATTATAGGAAGCAATTGAGAATGAGAAATTACTTTTCATCCAAAAAAGGATATTCATTGTCATATAAGTTTCTATAAACCTTCCTAATATTAGATTTGACTCTGGCATAGTTAAGCTCTGGTATTTATTTTGAAAATGATGCAGTGAACTTTGTGGCCAATCACTGGAGAATGTTTGCACAGCCACATAGCTGTCAATCCAAAGTAGATTAGACGCATCCACACAGTCTTCCAAACTGATCTGGTTTTCTAACAGCTATGAAGTATAATCAGTCGGATTGACAGTATGTAGATTCTGAAAGGACCTCTCAACTTTGATAGCACACATGCCAAATTTTAAGAGTCCTTAAGAAAAAAAGGACATTGGACTTAATGAAGGCCCATATTATCACTCAGTCTGACTCTTATGTCTGCATGGTTTTAATCCACAGTAGCCAACGTGTGCCTTTACAAAGTGTCAGACTATCTGTCTGATGTGTCTGTAGTTTGTCAGCTTTAGAGGCTACCTGCATTTAGGCTAAATTATGTATTTGTGCAGTTTGACGAAAAGGCTTTGACTTGTTTATTTAGCTCTTTGTTCTCAAGGGCCCTACATCTGATGTATTACCTGATCAGAAATTTGATCTGCATTAGGTCCCAGTCTAATTTGCGAAATTGTTGGTGCATTAGGGATTCACTTGAAAAGGTTTAACTGAATTACCTGCGACAATGCTGAAAAATGTAGCCAGAAACAGCCGAGACTACATTTTGTGATGTGAAATCAGTGTGTTCTTGAGACTCATTGTCTGTTTATCATTGCTGAAAATCAGTACAGGTGGAGAAATTAATAATTTATTTTAGAAGTGTGTCTATGTGAGAAACACAATATCTGGATGCAGCTGTTGCAGATTGATTTCATTATGAACATAGTTGCATGGCAAGGCAAAAATAGAGAGATAGAAGTTGACAAGTAACCATCTACTATTCTTTTGAAAAACACTGTACACTATATTTGGGAAAGCTTATGGAAATGGACATGCTATAGAGTAAAAAGTAATCTAAGCTTGTGATTCTCCCAAATGTATTTGCATTAATTCATAAAGAAAAGCCATTAAAGTAGTGCTCTCTAAATTGTGAATGTGAAATGTTGTGAGGTATGAAAGCAGAGAAAAAGTATTGCCTCTGAATCCAAAGGAATGCTCCCACTTCTTGGATGCAACCATCAGCTTTAATAGAAGATGCTTAAAGTTAGTGATGGGAAAAGCAGTTCTTTCCAGTGTACCGAATCAGTTCAGTAAAGTGATTCGTTCACCGAATCGTTCACCGAATCGTTCACCGAATCGTTCAGTACTTCTCTGCAGCTCTGCCTGCGTATCAGAATTTGATAATGGCCAAACGTTTAGTTCTGCTCGCGATCGTACTGAGAATGGGCGGTGGTGAATAAAAAGCCAATGAGCTGAGAATTTAGTTGGATAAAGCTACAGTTTGCAAACTGAAAGCTGCTAAAACAATCACATATATTTTCCCCGACCGTTCTGTTCAGTACGTTCAGTGAACGAATCACTCACTGAGCATGAGAACAACATACTAGTACAATGAACAAGAGCCCTGGTCTCAATTCTGTCGATGTCGAGGAAGCCCAGCACTAAATATTTTAATAACAATTAGGCTGGGTGTCACAAGAATGTATGTGCCTGTTAAAGCAGCTTTCAGTTTGCAAACGTTATCGTTATCATTTTGAACGAATCGTTCACGAACGACACATCACTACTCAAAGTGTTAAAGTTGAGTCAAGAGTGCAGTCAGCACAATGGAGCCTCATTGTCAGTTGACATTCAAGGGCCCTTTTGACTGGAATGTGCACTGATGTTAGTTTAGGTTCTGCAGAAGATTCAGGACTGAATGGCCGGTCTCCAAAAGTGTTTCACTTCCCTGAAGCCAAATGAATCATCAACACTTAAATCAATGGTTTAGCTTTTTATACCCTCTTTTATAAACCTCACTTCTAAGTTTCTGTCCTTTTTATTTGTTATGTGAAACTTCTATTTTCCAGAGACAGTCCTTTCCATGCTTCTGGCCACTGGGGCCTTATTAAACAAACTCCAGACTGGCTTAATTAATCTCATTAGGAGACTTAAAAGCTTTAGGACAGAAGGTAGTAGAGTACAGAGAGCTTGGAGTAGTGGGCTGAAACAGTGTTGTGCAAAAGTACCATGTCATATGGGCAAACATTTTTTCAGTGGATAATCAAATAAAAGGCTGAAAATACGAACAATGTTGACCCAAATACCAAAACCCACTTAGCCATCATCTCATTTGACTTTTGTGCTGTGCATTAGGACTGGAAATGCACAGAGCTTTATTTTAACTTAAAACATTTTTTCACAGAAAACTGTTGTCATGTAGTTGGTTACATATATAGCTCAATCTTTGTGGACAGTCGGTTAAGTGAAATGGAATAAAAAGCCAACTTATTTTTGTAATTTAGCTGTGATTAGTGACTCCCTTGTAAATCGTTGTCCAACTTCGGCCACAACCATCTCTTCTGGATCTTCTTGTGCAGTGCAACGACTTGTGCAGTGTGGTTTTGTTATGTTTTAACCATAGCGTGGCAGCTTGACATCCAATTCTTTAGTAGCACATCTGTTAACGCTTAGCCTGATCATCTAACCACATATCAGACCCCAACATCAACCAGCCTAACGATATCCTGTACTTCTTCCTGTTTTTCTCAGTCCACTTGTCCTCTCTCATTTCACATTGTCGAAGTCAGTAATTTAAAAATACATATTTTTGTTACTTTTTAATAGTGGACATCTGCCCACTTTAAATCTTAGTTTATTCATTATGTTTGTTTTTACATTCTTCCTATTTGTATTTCTGCCGTTCTCTTCTTGACTAGTTCCTAGCAGTTTTCTTCCTGTTTTCTTCCAACTGTGCAGATCCTGATAAGAAGAAAGCAGCTGACACGCTTAGGAAGAGTAGCTAACTTTTCCATATCAGAACTGCAATAATTTAATGGCTCTTAGCACTTCAGGCTTTCTTAAACTCATGTTGATCTGCTGCTTCCTTAGATTTGTAATTGCACAGCCTTTATTCTTTCCACTTCCTTAACAGTTTTTTGTTTTACTGGATTACTAGCGTCGTATTAGTATTGCAAATGACTAATTTTTCATCTTCCATATATCGTGTAGGTTTTTGTTATGCATACATGAATCTGTCTTAGGAAAACCAAAAATCACTGACTCCAGCCACCAGCAGCCCTTTGCAAGTAGTTTTTCATTTCACCAGCTGCCTCGTAAATAAATAATGATGTTTTGAAGTCAAAGTGCTACAAGAGTCAAGTTCAACATCCCATCTATTGATCTGTTGACATAACAATAGAGGACCTATTGTCTGCAAAATATGTGCTCCCTGCACTTGAGCTGAAACAGCTGATAGAGAGGTCTCTGCTGTCATCATCTTGAACTAAAATCTCTGCCGTCTGCAAAATGTGTGTGAAAGGAGGTTGAAGTGAGTTGCCTGAAGTCTATATTACATCAGACAAAATAAAATATGGCATGTTTATAGCAGTAAAAATATACATGAGAAATGTGTGACAGATTATTATCTCTGTGGTATCTTCATCCTCGGTATCTTGTCACTATAACTTGATCTACAAAAGCAGTGGAAATACTCTGTACATGTATAAAGCTTCAGCTGAGGTAGCACGTTTTGTTTTTCTCTGCTTGAAATGGACACAAGACTTGATTTCTCCTCAGTGTGTTGTGTTTGATGTCTATCATGTCTGCCTGCCTGCCCAATATGTCAGGACTAAACAGGCTGGCATCAGTTCAGCCACCACAAGCCAAATCTGAAAGACTCTGATACATTAATCAGAGGGCTGGCCAGAGCTGCCTGTTACCTTGTTCCCTTCCTTCCACCAAATATGGTCCAAGCTAGCCGGAGAATGCCAGGGCAACCACACTTCATTTTCCAAAGCTGCTGGCCAGACTCAAGGCCAGCAGAAAAATAGATTTTGGAAGGCTTAGAGCTTGTGCTGCTGGAGGAAAGCAGGGCACATCAGAAGAGGATGCAATGACATTTAGGCTTTTCATGACTGCAGGGAAGTCGATATGGCTGTTTGAAGGTGGGGACAGTGCTTTCAACTACATCTTTTTTTTTTTTTTTTTTTTAAATATGTATTCGTCTGTGTTCCCTGAGGCCACTTACCTAAATAGAAGCTGATGCCTTTTAAGTAAAGTAAACAATAAGTCAATTAATAATGTCATAATTTTATTAAAATGTTGGCATTGTAGTGGTAGGATTCACTTCACATGGTTTTATACCTTGCAAAAAAGAACTTACCTTGAATGTTTTATGAATGTGTTGTGCCTTGATGCCAGGTGTGGGAACCACTGTTTTTATTTATTTTTTGCTTTGTGTTCAGCAACTTACTACCATGAGTGGTACACCCTGACTCTTTCCACTCTACCGAAGCATTTAATGTCATAAACAGGAAGTTGTGCAAAAGCCTGACACCCTGTTGCTGATTAAATTTGCCTGGTTGTTTATCTCTGTATGTCAGCCCTGTGATTGACTGATGACCCGCCCAGGTTGTACCCCAGCTCTTGCCAAATGTCAGCTGTGATTGGCTCCAGCCACGTGTGACTATAGACGGTATATATAATGAATGCATGGATAGTACATGTCTCGCATCAAAAATCAAAGTGGAACTGCAAAGTCATTTTTTTTGGCATCAATATAAGATTCAGATTTTTCAATGCATATGCT